GTGTGGTGCTTAGTTGCTGGCTGGGGTTAAACCATGACACTAGTCCTGGAACTAGATAGCATGAAACCACTTTCACCTTTTCAACTGCACACCAGAGAATGCAACTGCTCATTTTGTTATTGTTTTCCTCTCTCCACACTGGAGCATCAATATCATGGTTCAAAGTTGGCTTCATTGTATGTTTATGCTGAAAAGTTTTTTTCCTCTACTACCTGAACTTTAAGACTGTTGGATTAAACAAAGGAGACAGCTTTCCTTGATACATTCAGTTTTGTATGTATCTGAATTATTAGAGGGCATTAAAGTTCACGCAAAGCAACTTCCTCTCCTTTAGTTTCTTTTCTTCTTTTTCACTATGGCATTCAAGACCCAGGATCATCATGGACAAGAAGTCACACGAAGCATTTTTTTGTCACTGGCTCTCCTGTTTGCTTTTCATGAGTTTTTCTTGGCCTCCACCACCACTTTTGTCACCTAACCTGAAGGTAAGCAGGGAAAATGTAGGACTGGATCCTTGTTGTCTTGCTATCTATGGAGACACATAGGCTATTAATGGACATTCAAGACATTTAACTACATTCTACATGACTCAAAACATATACATTGCTTCTGACTGAATGGTAATGCAAAACTGAAGAAGTGAACATAAATATAGCTGAGCAATGTCAGACTGAAAGTATCTCATCCCTTACAGTGGTCAAAAGCAGACATTTTGAACTGTGAGGATAAAACAAGCATATAACAGTATTTTCTGCAATTGCCTTTCAAGCCTCCAACAAACTGTGTCTTAGGGAAACGAGCAAATGATTTAAACCAGTATGCTTTCAAACTGAAGTCTTGTGACGTATCAGAAATTTGTTATGAGCCTGCTAGAAAGTTCATTACCTAAAGTTTCTGCTAATGCTTCTTAGTTTATTAGAAAACCTTGTGAAAGCATAGCTTCCTCATGGTAATTTTAATCTCAAAAGCAGAATCAAACGTTTGTGGGCTCCAAAGTTTGAACAACTCAGACCTCAAAAGCTAGGAATGAAGTTTAATGGGGAAAAAACCCCACAACTCAGTTATGAGTTAATACAACTGATATTCTTAAAATGTACACATTTCACATGTACAAATAGCAACTTATTGTGCTAGTTTTGCATTTTTATTACTATGTCACAACTCAACTGCTGGAAGAGAGGAAGTGAATCTCTTCGTGATTGCTGAAACAAGTATTATTAATGTAAAGAAACATGGAGGATCTGTCCTGCAAATCACTTACCTGAAGTATGTGGCAATACAGAGAATGACAACAAGCATTGGGTAATATATATAGAAACCATCTGCAATGAAGGACAGCACTTTCATGGATCCCATTATCTGGGAAAAAAATCCATAAGAACAAGCTCTAATCAGATATATTCTACATATATCCATAAAGATTGTGCCATCTCACTGTTTTCAGTCCACTACACACAACCACACAATCCTTTACAGTTACTGAAACATAGTAAGTATTATCATCACAGATCTGATTCAGACAGTTGACCCAGAATGCCCAAATATAAAGGCCACCTCTAACAGTGTATCCATTTTGAGGTTTCTAAGATGCTAGATTTTGCTGTCTCACCTAATCCAGAACCAGTTCAAATCTGGTGGATCTTTCCATCTGCTGTGAAAAGAGTCTCTAGACAACACTAAGAATCTACCTGCTAACAACAAAGATGTGAGATGTAACTTGCTGTCCTACAGAAGTTGGTTTGTTGTTCAGTAAAGCCAAACTCACTGGTTTTCACTGGCAAGTTAGGTTTGCTCCCAATCTATAAAGATGTCCTATATGGTAAAGCCAGTGGAAGCTAAAGCTATTAAGAAGTGAAGAACAGTCTGAACTCTTCAGCATAATACTTTACTTTCTTAGGATAAAGAGACCAAAACAGAAAAATAGAGCTATTGATGACTCCTGTGTGGCTAGCAATCATTACCAAACTCCTGGTCTGTATTTCTACCCTGTTTAACACTAGTGAAAAGATTTGAATATCTGAATCTTACTATAAGAAGTATTTAAAAATATTTTGCCTATCCTCCAAACCATATAGAAGCCTCAAAACCACATTTTCTGTTACTTACAGATGTATAAGCAGTTGGCTGAGTGTTTTTGTGAGAGATTGTTGCATCCATATGGGTCAAGCCCAAAAAGTTCAAGCATAACGGTGGAGTAAGACGGCAAAATAACCTGCACAAATGCAAGAAGCAACAGCATTTAAAACAATTTCTTGCACTAAAAATATTAAGAAATCGTAACTGGATCTATCACAGAATCATGATATACAGCTCATTAGGATTTATACCCATATGATTATAAATGAAAGAATATAAATGAAAGTTTCATGGACATTTTCAATTGAGTATTTGACAGAAAATCTGCAAAATATATGCCACATACTCACATGCCACTGAAAAGGAGACTGTACGCATCGGTCTGATGATGTGAAGCTAAGTAATAATAGTTAAATACACGGATCCTGAAGACAGTAGAGTAAACACAGATACTTAGGAAAAAGATGGTAAGAAAACAGGCCATCTGGGGAAAAAAAAAGATTGTTGAATGTAGAACTCTACTAACGGTTTTAATGCATTCAGCACATAGTCTGTGCATGCACCAGGCTGACTGCAGTATAATTTTTCATTTTGAGATGGGACAATAACACAGCTCTGAGAAGAGTTTCAGGAGGTTTTTGTGACTAATTTAAATTGAGAATGATACTTGTAACATTCTGCACTTTATATAAGCTAACACAACTGACCCTAGGAACATTTATTCTACTTTTTTTTGTTACGTAAATGAAATTGCTGTAATTGCCTCAATGATTACTATGACTGACTTGACATTTCCACAAAAAGTGATAAAAACAAGTGTTTTTAATTCAATGTATTTTGTTAGCATACTGGAATTTTTCAGCTCAGTTCCTTTACTGCTAAATCTGTGCACACATATGCTAGCCACACCTGTGACTGGATCTTCCATCAGCAGCAAATTCCTGCTTAGGAAAGAGAGGTCACACACATGGTGATTAGACACAAAGTCTAAACACCTAAGCTCCAAGCTGATGTTTCACAAATTACTCTAGATGTGCTATTTAGCTAAACTGGGTCACACCTTCACCCCTCACCCCATATTAGAGAGTTGTAATAAGTGGCAAAAGGCAGACTCCCTCCACAGAAACAAAGTTTGGTATTATCTATTTTAGTGACCTTCTGAAAGTTGACAGATGATTTAAAGACTCATTTTTAAATCAATCTGGTCTACTACTATTGTAATAACAATCTATCTGAAAACATTTTTGTTGAGTATCTCAAACTTACCTCAATGTATATATAATTATATGTCTTTTCTGCCAGCTGTATGAAAACCGCAAATAGCGATAAAACTGGTTTTGTGCTGAAAAATGTGCACTCTGACCACACAACAATTACAGAGAACGTGGCAAGAACAACTGCAAGCACCCTGTAAAACCATGGTCGTAGAAGACATTCCCAGTACCATTCTGGAAAAAACCAAACACACACACATCCAGAATGGATTAATGAAAATTACACAACCAGAAATAGAACTTCCTTACAAAAACTGTTATGAATTTCTTGCACACACGCCCATAAAAATCAAGGCTGGAATCTGTGGGGTCACACACTCCATTTCAGGGCTTTTCCAATGCCTAGAGATCTGGCTCAGCCCTAAGGAATCATATGCACAACTGGGGAAAACAGGGTGGGATTTGGGAGGCAAATTTTGCAAACAGATTGTGGGGGGGTACAGAACAGAACTCTTCACTTTTGGCCCACACACTATAGGTGATCCACTTTTTGTTTGTTCATCTGTTACTCTCTCAGAATCAAAGCCTAGGCTGTAAAATTATATTGTCCTAACCTGGAAATAACTCACTACTAGCGCACAACAAATTAGAAGTTAAAACACGATTAGGAGAAGACACTTTCTAAAAAGATGCACAAGCAGCCACATGTCCTAGTGTTTGGTACATGACAAATGCAGAGTCCTTTCCTCTTTGCTTTACTGGAAGAGTGGTGCTACCTCAATAATATCCAACAGATGTAGAAGGTAGCCATGATCCAATAATTTAAAGTTGCGATTTTACTTTCTTCTTCTAAGGCTTCAAAATTTGCTATTGCTTTTACAACATGTAACTGCTATTAAATCTGTAAAAAAATTTAAGCTGATGGTCAGGAGTATAAATCAATACCTGATGGCTATTGCATTACATAAATGCATCAAGATGCACATTTGCTTCCCTCTGCTGTACCTGAACTTTTTACATAAACCAATCAGTTCTTCTTACAAAACGGTACCACGTACTCCTTTACATATTCAAAATTTGCATGATGGCACCTTACCAACAGTTGGTGTGTAGAAATACTGAATAATTTTATTCTCTGGTTCCTGGGAATGAAAGGTATGAACAAACTGTCGAGTTGCACTGGTTTCATTTTTTGCCACATCTTCTAGGTAAAATGCTTGTTCTAGAAGAATTTGCCACTGGACCTGTGTACGACGATGTCTCTGTACTGCATAGATTACCTGTATTAAATTCCAAGAAATTATGGTTACAACATACTTTTTTCAAGAAATGAGAAAAGCTTTGCAAAACCCCTTAAAAATGTCTACATTATGGAATTGCAAAAATTAATTCTGTATACTCACAAAAGCAGGCAGTTAATTCACTAAATATATGAATTTTAAGAGGACTACATACATAATTCCTGAGTTCTGCAGTTCTTTCATCACAATCTACCTGCAGCAGTAACAGCCTACTTTTTCCAATATATCACTTTATTTTTGCATCTTAATGAATACCAAGCTTTTACTACAATTTTTTAGAATGCACTGTTAATCAACCATTACAAGGCTTACTGACAGACTGCTAAAACATTGTCAAGATACAAACGCAACAGGAACACTTTTTACACATCCAGAAATTTGATCTGGACATTACTTGGGTTATTAAACTTCTATGTTTTCTTTCACTGAGAAAAGTTTCTGTTAAGTAGCAATCCCCAAACCCGCTGTACTCAGCAATCCAGTTAAAGTCCACTGAAAAATCTTTGTTTGACTAGCATTTGTTCTCATTACATTAGCGTAAGTGAGGCATTCTCTCATTTATTAATATACCTGCTTGTGAAGTTTGACCAAACTTTTTTCACTTGGATAACTGTTCTGTCTTTCATCAAAATCTTCATAATCATCCATGTTCCTACCCATTCTTTCCTGGTACTCAGTAGGACACTGGAAGGAAAAGGTAAAATTAACTGGAAGATAAAGGAGTAGCAAGTGCTCTTTGTTAATTATTTGTAAATGCTTGGGACATTTCATGCAACTGGAACACTCACTCTAAGCATAGATTTTTCTGTTTCTAAAACACTACATATGTCAAAATGCAACAGATAATTACATACATCATAAGAAAGCATTCCACAAAGAATTTCAACTCAAACTCTGGTCAGAAACTCACAAGATGCCAATTAGGTTAAGGGGAAAAGATAATAATGTACAAGTACTCAGTAGGTGCAGGAAGCATCCCCCCCCACCCCCCCACCCCAGCTGAACAATTATGGCTGAAGATGAGCAATTTGTTACCTTTTTCAGTATTGTATCAACACATTTTCTCAAAGGGTGGTTATACTTGATACTCTCACTTACTTTACGGACTTCCTGTTGAGGAAAACAAAAACAAAACAAAAAAGAGTTGTTTCATTATGTTAAATAGATTAAAAAATTTTACAGGGTCAGATAAGAGTTCCAGCCCTCCCAGTGGCAAAGATAACCATCAGAGCTTAAAAACAATAGAACTTCCTAAAAGCCACAGCTTTACTACACATCTAATACAAGATTATTGAAGGAGTATTTATAAAGAAGATATATGTCTTTTTAAAAAAACCCACAATGTCAGTGCGCAAACATTACTCTGTGAACATGTGGAGGATTGGTTTCTATGCATGCATATCAAAATGGAAAATACTTTGGTTTAGTTGTAGGTAAAGAGGAGGAGTTTCTATCTTACCTGGTTTAGTTTCACTTTTATTACTTCAACCAGCTTGATGAATATTTTTTTACACTACTTCATTTTATATCTTCCTCACATTTATCTCCACAGAGCTCAATTCTGAGAGCATTTGGCATTTATCAGTAATAAAAAGATGCTACCTAACAGCTATGTAAGTTGTGTCAGAACTGGCTCTAGCTGTTTATCAGGCTTAGCGAGAACTAGATTTTATTATTCATCCCATTGGCAACCCAGAGATAACCTTTTGATGTTTTTTTGTTGTTACAAACAGCACTTCAAAAAAAAGATGCAAGTTCTAGAGTCTGGAAGACGGAAATAACTGTAAAGGCCTAAAACTCTTGTCAAATAGCATGATTAGCAGACAGAAGAATTGTATTTGTTTAGTGTGACAAGGGAGGCTAAGTGGATATAGACAGTCCTTCGACATATAAAAGGCTGTTCTAACAGATGACTGTCAGTAATTCTGGATTCCCTCTGAATTTCCTGAGGGAATGATCACAAGAGATCTGATTAGTCTGTGGCAAAGAATTTTTCATTATGTAGTGAGATTATGAAAAACAAACAAACAAAATCCCACAAGAATGTCTGTAAGGGTCAATCCTAACATACTCAGCCCTGTCACGTACAGCACTGGACTGGAAAAAAATTAAAAATAAGAAATTGTATCCAGTACTACAGTATCTTGTGTTTTCAGAATCTCTGATCAAGGAAGAAACCGAAAGCCTAAACTACAGCGGGTGAGAGCTAAAATTTTGTGGTTTAGACACAACAGCAATTCATAATATTTACAACCAAGTTCTCAGAGTCAGCACACTGGCATTCTTAAGAATTTTAAAATATTTTCACACACTTCAGTATTCCTACAAAGGTTGAAAACAAAATACTGGTCAAGATTTCTAAGGTATAGTACAATTGTTTCCAGACTGAAAGAAAAAGAAAGTGCAAGGCGGAAAAAAAAGTGTGAAATGCCAACCCTTGAAACAAGGTTTTATCATGCATTAACAATATAATGTATTTTATGTTGTGTATGACATAACCTCAGAATCTGTCAGTCACCCTACCTGACAAAGGACAATCTAGTACAAGACAGCAGTCTAGTACAAGATCTTCTTTTCAGGGAAGTTTGCTGCCTCCCTGGGGCTTGAATTAGGGACGTCACCACAAGACTAAAGAGCTTAGTACACTCTTCAGACTACTATGCCTTCCTGCTCTGTCATGTGGGTATTAATGATGTCACAACAAAAAGTCTGAGGTCAATAAAAAGAGATTTCAGTGCCCTGGGAAAAATGCTAAAAAATTCAGGAGCACAGCTAGTGTCCTCCTCAGTCCTCCCAGTAATGGGGGGAGACTTTGGAAGAAACAGGCAAGCCCAGGATATGAAGCCTCTGCCAAAACTTTGGGGTTTTAAACCATGGAAGAGCCTTCAAGGCACAAGGTAGGCTGTGTTTAAGGGAACAGAACAGAACACAGTATTTTCAGTTGGAACGGACCTACAACAATCACCTAGTCCAAGTCCCTGACAACTTCAGGGCTGACCAAAAGTTAAAGCATGTTAAGGGCATTGTCCAGATACTTCTTAAGCACTGACAGGCTGGGGGCACTGACCACCTGTCTAGGAAGCCTGTTCCAGTGTTTGACCACCCTCTTGGGAAAGAAATGCTTCCTCACGTCCACTCTAAACCTCCCCTGGCGTGGCTTTGAACCATTCCCACACCCCCGTCACCAGATACCAGCGAGATCTCCAGACACCTCCCACTCCAGACGTTTGGACAATGCTCTTAATACTTTGCTTTAACTTTTGGTCAGCCCTGAAGTGGTCAGACAGTTGGACTAGATGATCGTTGTAGGTCCCTTCCAACTGAAATATTCTATTCTATTCTGTTCCGTTCTAAGTGATAGCCTGGTAAACAAAGTTTTTGTTGCTCATTTTCTAGAAAGTTTTGTAGTTATGTCCCACTCAGATGTTTTTAGCAATTTCTTCAAAATGGTATTACTGAAGAATGAAGATTCTACTATTATTTTATGTTGACGTATCACAGAAGTTACCATCCTACCTTACAACTCTGCAGAACTATTATTTCCAAGCCATGGTATCAGAGCAGTAGAACAGGGAATAGCTACTCGATGGGTTGCATTTTGATTCTGTTCTTGAACTACATGTGGATGTAGCTGTGGGTATCATCTACCTGGACTTCAGTAAAGTCTTTGACACCGTCTCCCACAGCATTCTCCTAAGGAAGCTGGTGGCTCATGGCTTGGATAGGAGTACTCTTCGCTGGATAAAAATCTGGCTGGGTGGCCAAGCCCGGAGAGTTGTGGTGAATGGAGTTAAATCCAGTTGGCGACCCGTCACAAGTGGTGTTGCCCAGGGCTCTGTTTTAGGGCCAGTCTTGTTTAATATATTTATCAACAATCTGGATGAGGGGATTGAGTGCACCCTCAGTAAGTTTGCAGATCACACCAAATTGGGTGGGAGTGTCTATCGGCTTGAGGGTAGGAAGGCCCTGCAGAGGGACCTGGACAGGC